TGTGTATTTGCAATCGCCGTGACCCTGATATCATTGTTATATACTTTCGTTTCGGTAGCAAGCTGCTCGGCTTAGAACTGATACGAGAAAGCATTTCTATTAGGAGATTAAACGGCTGTTGGAAGCTGAGACGTTTTTCGTTCGTTTTTGCTGGCAGTGCATGCTTTAAAACGCCCGCATGTCCGGATCGCGAATTTCTTCACCCATATATCCCGGCACCTACTAAATAATATCTTCTATATTAAAGGGACAGTAGCCTCTAGGATTTTACTGTATAACAAATCGTCTATACCCACACGTATTTGTTACCAGATGCCTAATTTAATTGTTATAATTATTTACACATCAACGCTACGAAATTTAAACGGCGCCATGACAGCCGCGACCGTGCTGCCACCCCGAAAAAGTTGCGTATTAGACAATTTATTTTGCACGTTACAGACCGAGGGCTAATCACAAAAGTGCAATTATATTTATACCTAAATGCTATTTAACTGAACGATATTCATTTTAGGGCAAATTTATCCATATTATAACTGAAACTATATGTCGTTTATAAGATATTACAATCCTTTTGGCTTTTAAATGAATAAATAAGAAACACCTCGTCTGTAGCCCTTGGCTGGAAAGTGTTTTGCGCAACTTATCAGATCGTGCGCTTTGAGTGGCGCCACCGTCGTTGCAATCAAACTGTAGTCGTTAGTTTTAAAACATTTAAAATAAATACTTCTAATGGTGATTGACCATGAAACTTTTTATGTAGCGTAATTATAACCTAAATTAGCTGAAAATAATCCTAGAACCTAGAGTAAACTCTCCCTTTAACATAACTACAATGAACTTTTCCCGCATCACACTTTCATTGTTTCTTCACTGTCTCTTAAGTTAACTTAAGTAACTTTTATTAATGAGTGAAGGAATTCGTGCATGATAACACCTAAACAACGGTGAATCGAAAAATTGGCTACTTGATTTTAACCAGAGATATTACTTCTCACGTACGCATTGAATCTCTCCACTTAAAAACGCGCTGAAAGTGATATTTATTAGTGTCGAACTAACTCATATGCAATTATGAGAATGAAACGTAATTTGACTGCATTGTAATAGTAGATGGCGATGCGATTATCGTTTATTATTTATATTCATTATCAGAAATTATATGCACCTGGCGTGAAACGTGGGAGAATTCAAATTTTGGAGAAAGAAACATTTTTCGTCATTACTGAAGGAATATATCGAATGCTCTCTGCCACTAATATCAAAACAAACCTCATGATCAAAGTTTAAAAATTTGATTTCGATTTGATTTTTTGATTTCAAAATTGAGAAATTTCGTACGTGAACAATTAAAAGAGTTATAGGAATGAGTATAATTCTAAAAGCTATGCTACGGTTCATCTAATTTAAAATCGAAATTTTAAGCAGGATGAAAAAATAGAGCGCTATAATGTTTTTGGTCCGAAGCGGACACGAAGTAAAGAAATCCTCAAAAAATGCGATTTTTTTTAATGAGTCGTTCACTAATGACGTTTTGCGCATGTAGTATGTGTAGATCTAGCTGATAGTGACTAGTGTTTCGATCACTGCGTTATCATGACAGCGAGCTGCACATATTATAGTCAGATTTGTGGATTGAATTGTTGTATTTATATGATTAATTACATTCATAACCGCGACATCGGTGATATTAAATTAATGTCGCCAAAATTTTAGAGGCTTTAGGCAAGCTGTTTTCGTGAGGTATGTTGTAATTGTCCATTAGTTCTCTATTCATCTGTGAATGCGTGAGATTAATTCTGCAACAATTATAACGCTTGTGTTTGGTGTTTAAAATCTTTTTTTACGTAATCTTATTCAATACGTATAATATAATTCTAGAAGTACAGAAGAGTTTGTCGTTGTTCCGCATTGTTCAGCATTACCCGGTGCGTGTTTCAATGCCGGTGCTCAGGGCCAGCCTTTTCGATTTCAGTTTTAATTGTCGTATTCAGAAGATTGCTTTTTTTCATAACGCCTATTTACGGTACCCTGAAAATTCTCCTTTTTTAGTTTGTTATTCATGTCTCTGATATGGTTAGGGCATGCCGCACAGACCTATATTTTTAGCTCAGCTGACGAAGTCAGATGCAGCTTGTAGAATCGCATGAATGTCCGTCCGTCTGTGCGTCCGTTCGTCCGTCCGTCCCTCTGTCAGTGCGTCCGTCAACAGTTATGGCACAAATCTTTACCGCGCGACGTACGACCGTCTTGATATTCGGACGTTGGGGGGGATCGCGAAAAGGACTCGGGATATCGAATTTGGGGGGCAAGGGTCAAAGGTCAAGATGTGTCAATGGAGGGGGAATATTTCCCCGTTAGCTTAACGTATAGGAGTAAATGCGGAATTGCGGCACAAATCTCAACGCTCGACCTACGCTATTAATATTCGATGTATAGTGTGATGGGGAGGAAACCCATCACCAGTGCGAAAATTAAAGGTCACAGGTCAAAGGGTAGTGGGGGAAAGGTCAGATATTAGACATTTTCTGAGGACATGGTCTAACAGACGGAGTGCAAAACTTTTTTGTTTCAGCGCCTGACCTACCATTTTTATCACTTTATTGAAAGGACCATGAAATGTACTTTCCGCTGACGTGCGAAGAGTAAGTGTCTGATAACCTTTTGACCCTCAAGAGGAGGGTTAAACATGGATTTGTTGACTGTTAACAAAGGACTGAACTGGGTTTGCCATTATACTCGTGCTAACACCATCGCTGTACTGTTCTACTCGTGCTAACACCATCGCTGTTCTACTCGTGCTAACACCATCGCTGTTCTACTCGTGCTAACACCATCGCTGTTCTACTCGTGCTAACACCATCGCTGTTCTACTCGTGCTAACACCATCGCTGTTCTACTCGTGCTAACACCATCGCTGTTCTACTCGTGCTACACCATCGCTGTTCTACTCGTGCTAATACCATCGCTGTTCTACGTTCGTGCTTAACACCATCGCTGTTCTACTCGTGCTAACACCATCGGCTGTGCTACTCGTGCTAACACCATCGCTGTTCTACTCGTGCTAAACATCGCTGTTCTACTCGTGCTAACCCAATCGCTGTTCTACTCGTGCTAACACCATCGCTGTTCTACTCGTGCTAACAGCCATCGCTGTTCTACTCGTGCTAACACTATCACCTGTTCGTACTGCTGCAACACCATCGCTGTTCTACTCGTGCTAACACCATCGCTGTTCTACTCGTGCTAACACCATCGCTGTTCTACTCGTGCTAACACTATCACTGTTCTACTCGTGCTAACACCATCACTGTTCTACTCGTGCTAACACCATCGCTGTTCTACTCGTGCTAACACCATCGCTGTTCTACTCGTGCTAACACCATCGCTGTTCTACTCGTGCTAACACCATCGCTGTACTGTTCTACTCGTGCTAACACCATCGCTGTTCTACTCGTGCTAACACCATCGCTGTTCTACTCGTGCTAACACCATCGCTGTTCTACTCGTGCTAACATCGCTGTTGCTACTCGTAGCTAACACCATCGCTGTTCTACTCGTGCTAACACCATCGCTGTTCTACTCGTGCTATAACCATCGCTGTTCTACTCGTGCTAACACCATCGCTGTTCTACTCGTGCTAACACCATCGCTGTCTACTCGTGCTAACACCATCGCTGTTCTACTCGTGCTAACACCATCGCTGTTCTACTCGTGCTAACACCATCGCTGTTCTACTTCGTGCTAACACCATCGCTGTTCTACTCGCTGCTAATACGCATCGCTGTTCTACTCGTGCTAACACCATCGCTGTTCTACTCGTGCTAACACCATCGCTGCTTCTACTCGGGCTAACACCATCGCTGTTCTACTCGTGCTAATACACATCGCTGTTCTACTCGTGCTAACACCATCGCTGTTTCTACTCGTGCTAACACCATCGCTGTTTCTACTCGTGCTAACACCATCGCTGTGTTCTACTCGTGCTAACACCATCGCTGTTCTACTCGTGCTAACACCATCGCTGTACTGTTCTACTCGCCCGTGCTAACACCATCGCTGTTCTACTCGTGCTAAACACCATCGCTGTTCTACTCGTGCTACACCATCGCGTGTTCTACTCGGCTAACACCATCGCTGTTCTACTCGTGCTAACACCATCGCTGTTCAACTCGCTGCTAACACCATCGCTGTTCACTCGTGCTAACACCATCGCTGTTCTACTCGTGCTAAACCCATCGCTGTTCTACTCGTGCTAACACCATCGCTGTTCTACTCGTGCTAACACCATCGCTGTTCTACTCGCTGCTAACACCATCGCTGTTCTACTCGTGCTAACACCATCGCTGTTCTACTCGTGCCTAACACCATCGCTGCTTCTACTCGTGCTAACACCATCGCTGTACTGTCTTGCTACACATCGCTGCTACTCATGACACCATCGCCTGTACTGTTCTACTCGTGCTAACACCATCGCTGTTCTACTTCGTGCTAACACCCATCGCTGTTCTACTCGCTGCTAACACCATCGCTGTTCTACTCGTGCTAACACCATCGCTGTTCTACTCGTGCTAACACCATCGCTGTTCTACTCGTGCTAACCTACCAGCTCCATCGCTGTTCTACTCGTGCTAACACCATCGCTGTTCTACTCGTGCTAAACACCATCGCTGTACTTTACTCGTGCTAACACCATGCTGTCTACTCGTGTAACCATCGCTGTTCTACTCGCTGCTAACACCATCGCTGTTCTACTCGTGCTAACACCATCAGCGTACTGTTCTTCGTGCTAACACCATCGCGTGTTCTACCGTGCTAACACCATCGCTGTTCTACTCGTGCTAACACCATCGCCGTTCTACTCGTGCTAACACCATCGCTGTTCGTACTCGTGCTAACACCATCGCTGTTCTACCTCGTGCTAACACCATCGCTGTTCTACTCGTGCTAACACCATCGCTGTTCTACTCGTGCTAACACCATCGCTGTTCTGTTTGCAGGTCGACGGGTGCTTCGTCTTATTCTACGCGCTCTTCTACTACTTCCAACGCTCGAACATGACAGGCGTGCTGCAGACGACAGAGTTCTTCGGCTACACACTGCTCGCCTGCTACATCTTCTTCCTCATGCTCGGCACCGTGTCGTTCTTCGCCTCGCTGAACTTCATCCGCTACATCTATGTCAACATCAAGATGGACTGAGAACGTCGCGGTGTTCCGAGAACGTCGGGTGGACTGAGAACATGAGATGGAGTAAGAACGTCGAGTTGTTCTGAGAACATCGGGGGCCCATCGACGGGGGTGGACTGAGAACATTGAGGTGTGCTGAGAACATTGGGGTATGCTGAGAACATTGGGGTATGCTGAGAACATTGAGGTATGCTGAGAACATCAAGGTGTGCTGAGAACTTCGATGTGTGCTGAGAACATCAAGGTGGGCTGAGAACATTGAGGGATGCTGAGAACATCAAGGTGTGCTGAGAACTTCGATGTGTGCTGAGAACATCAAGGTGTGCTGAGAACATCGCAGTGGATTGATAACATCAAGATAGACTGAGAACACCCACAATGTACTAAGAACATCGAAGTGGACAGATAATGTTGACCTCATTGTGAATGTAAAACCATCAACGCAGGCAAGCACGCACGCACGCACACACGCGCACGCAAGCACACGCAAGCACGCAAGCACACGCGCGCATGCAAGCACGCACGCACGCACACACGCGCACGCAAGCACACGCGCACGCAAGCACACGCGCACGCAAGCACACGCGTGCATATACGCCTCCCGCTTGAGTGTTAGGTTTATCACTACGCGCGGGTAAACAGAATTTTCTGTGATGTATTTTAACGGCACTCGAAAACGGTAACGGAACCGACTTTTCAGCACCATCACAACTTACCAGTAGATTTACCTTATTAAAACTGCCCCCGTCGCATCTCTCAGAGTCAAACTGCTACTGAGTTTAGAGTTCCTTTTCCTTAGCTCGTATGATTCTAAACGTAATATTTAGTTTGTGAATTCTACTAATGTATAAGGTATTAATTTGTAGGAGAGAGTGAATTATATATATATATGATAAATAAATATTTGAATGATGTTATATAGCCTAGAATCAAAGCACGAGGGACGAGAAAGGAAGAAAGAGTGCGTGTTGTGCGTGCGTGCGTGCGTGCGTGCGTGCGTGCGGGCGGGCGGGCGTGCGTGCGTGCTGGTGTGTCTGCGTGTGAGAGAAAGAGAGAGAGAGAGAGAGAGCTAGAGAGAGAGAGAGAGAGCGCTGCGGGACACGACGTACGAGCGTACGTGCGAGAGACACTTCACTGAGGCTATTAAGGAAATGCGTAGCCTATCTGGCTCTCAGTCGAAAATTTACCTGAATTACAAACAAACAATTACCGAACCTACAATTAAAGGGCAAACATGTAGGGGCATAAAACACTTTTCAAGTAGAACCGAACGCATTTCGATTACCTTCGTAATAAGGCAGCGTAATAAAATAATTTCTTGTCCTTTTGTCGAGCGCCGTTAATTAACAAATAATTAGGTCCGTGTTTTTTTTATTAGATTATATGTCATCGATCGAGCAAGGAGCACGAGGGACGAGAAAGGAAGAAAGAGTGCGCGCGTGCGTGCGTGCGGGTGTGTATGTGAGAGAGAGAGAGAGAGAGAGAGAGAGAGAGAGAGAGCTGCGGGACACTGGAAGGGCAGGGGAGCTGGAGCGATCGACAAAAAAAAATAGCATAAATGTTAGGGTGAGTGGTTTGTGCGCGCGTGCATGCGTGTGTGCGTTTGCGTGTACGAGCGTACGTGCGAGAGACACTTCACTGAGGCTATTAAGGAAATGCGTAGCCTATCTGCATGGCTCTCAGTCGAAAATTTAGTCACGAATATATTTTGAAGTTTGCATATAAATATTGATAACTAAACTATATACGTCATCGTGCCTGTATACATATTGCTTACAAAACAAGATGTATAAAATTCTAAGCGTTGAGAATTATTTTATCCGACACCACAGGGTTTATGTTTACGCATGTCTGATATTGTGGGAGTATGTATAATCCTGATCGTATTCTATGGCCTATATACACGCGTACTAGTTAGCATGTTGCAAATTGGAGCGTGATTAATTATGTACTTCGCTATTATTGTAATTAAATGAGACCAAGGTGAAATGTTGGTGCCATGTTTTCATTTGTGTTTCTACTGAAAAGTCGCTCTGCACAATATCATGACTGAGTTACAAAGTTTGCTCTCTGTACAGGTTAATATATGAAATATGAAATTTTACTCGGAATTTTATGTTGGTCACTGCATGTGCACGGAAAAACGGCAAAATTAAGTCGTCTGTAATTTTGCTGTTTTGTACTAAAAATAGCATTTATTTGTATATGAAGGCTGTAGTGCTGTTTATGCTTGGTTCTTTAAAAAAAAACACTATTTGAAATCATTCTTCTGTTTAGAGAACTTCTTATTGTTTGCAATTACTGAAACGAAGCATTGAGGTTTTTACAAGGAACCTACAATTAAAGGGCAAACATGTAGGGGCATAAAACACTTTTCAAGTAGCACCGAACGCATTTCGATTACCTTCGTAATAAGGCAGCGTAATAAAATAATTGCTTGTCCTTTTGTCGAGCGCCGTTAATTAACAAATAATTAGGTCCGTGTTTTTTTATTAGATTATATGTCATCGATCGAGCAGTTGAGCAGTGTTCTGTTCTAATAGCTGCATACCCGCTAGCGTGTTACTGTTGCTCTAGCGACACTGCATGGGTGACGTAATTAAAGTTGATACTTTTATTTTCGTTAAACTTGATTACGTTCGAATATTGTCGCCAGGCGCCGTGTCAAAATCTTATCGATAACTGCGGCGACATATCTAATCGATATCTAATAATGTTGCTCGCAGTGGTGTGCCGTCAATGATATTGTTTGTTACAACGTAGTCGGCTCCAGCTGCAGGACCCCCCCCCCTTCCTCCTCAACTTTATCCCTCCGTACACGCGATGCCAGCGTGGATTGCCGACGAATGTGGAATAATCACAAAGCATTAATTAACGTGATCAGCGCGCGTCTGCACACCAGTCCTGTGCACGTGCGCGAATCCGTGTCGCATTGAATGTGTCGAGGAGATTGTGGATGATTTCGCGTGTTGACGGTGTTTGGGCGCGTGTGAAGCGGCGTTATGTCGCTATTTCGAGGAAACGTGGTGGTAACTACGAGACAAACAACCGGGTGTGAATAGGACGGTAGATGCTGCGCTGCGTTGTTGGTGTAACGGAGCTTAGTTTCATCTCATATGAGCGGTATGGATCTACTATCATCCTAAGGCAATGTGTGGGAATGGGGAAGGAGATACGAGACAAACCACTTGATGGAAAACAATAACTATATGAGTAACGTACCACACTGGCGTTTATTCTCAGCCATTTCGACAGTGATACAGATCGAATAGAGTACGGATATAATGCTACGTGTAGAGGCGAGGAATAGCCTAAAAGACGGCCAAGCTATTCTCGGGTATGGTAGGGCCGTCTTCTTATAAGCTCCCTAGCCTGTCGTGTCCTTGATAATAGCCGCGTTCACACGTAGCAAGAAATCCGGTATTTAGCGTTCACACGAGGCAAAATGCGAGGTACAAGAAATACGGAATCTAAATAGATTCTGTATTTGTTGAAATACGCGGCTTCCCAGATGCCGAATTATTTGCCGTGCTTGAGAAATTACGAATCTCTTGGACCGCGTATTTCTCTCGTGTGAACGATAAATACGAATTTCTGAAGCCGCGTATTTTATAGACCGGTCCGCGCTCGAGAGTTCCACTCGCGTTACACTGGAACTGTCGAGCGCGGACCAGTCTATAAAATACGCGGCTTACTCTAACGCACTGCGGTTGTGACGCGAGAGCCTCCGCGGTATAGGTAGTCTGTAACTTTTAGCAATAAGAATGATGTGCGAGTGAACTGCGAGAAAACCGAAAAACCGAACTCATTCTTGTGGTAGAAGTTACATTTTGCTCGCTGCACTCGCACAGATGGCGGCGGCCATCTTGAAAAATCCTAGGCCGCCTGTCGTAGAACAGGCAACTGCGCATAGAATACCTTTATACGGTTTACCTAATACGTGTACTAAAGCAATAGCTATCACATGATAAAATATTGATTTCCATTTACAGGCACACTAATTTGCTTTTAGGGGAAAACCCCACAAAAGAAAATCCATACATGAAAGTGCTGAAGCGACTAATATTAGACTGGAATTATTATTGTGCTGTGCATGGCTGTGCCACTTAGGTGATTGCGCGAATACGCAGATGTGCCAATGCGTGCAGAATTGTTTAGATTGTCAGCAAGATGCGATTATGTGTAGCAATCCGTCGCATAACCATGGCCGCTATTCCCACCGTAAGTAAGCTAAACGTTTAGGGCGCATCCCTCGCTCTCTCTTCCTCGCTCTCTCTCTCTCTCTCTCTCTCTCCCTCTCTCTCTCTCTCACACACACACACTCTCTCTCTCTCTCTTTCTCTCTCTCTCTCTTGCAACTTATCAGATCGTGCGCTTTGAGTGGCGCCACCGTCGTTGCAATCAAACTGTAGTCGTTAGTTTTAAAACATTTAAAATAAATACTTCTAATGGTGATTGAACCATGAAACTTTTTATGTAGCGTAATTATAACCTAAATTAGCTGAAAATAATCCTAGAACCTAGAGTAAACTCTCCCTTTAACATAACTACAATGAACTTTTCCCGCATCACACTTTCATTGTTTCTTCACTGTCTCTTAAGTTAACTTAAGTAACTTTTAACTTAATGAGTGAAGGAATTCGTGCATGATAACACCTAAACAACGGTGAATCGAAAAATTGGCTACTTGATTTTAACCAGAGATATTACTTCTCACGTACGCATTGAATCTCTCCACTTAAAAACGCGCTGAAAGTGATATTTATTAGTGTCGAACTAACTCATATGCAATTATGAGAATGAAACGTAATTTGACTGCATTGTAATAGTAGATGGCGATGCGATTATCGTTTATTATTTATATTCATTATCAGAAATTATATGCACCTGGCGTGAAACGTGGGAGAATTCAAATTTTGGAGAAAGAAACATTTTTCGTCATTACTGAAGGAATATATCGAATGCTCTCTGCCACTAATATCAAAACAAACCTCATGATCAAAGTTTAAAAATTTGATTTCGATTTGATTTTTTGATTTCAAAATTGAGAAATTTCGTACGTGAACAATTAAAAGAGTTATAGGAATGAGTATAATTCTAAAAGCTATGCTACGGTTCATCTAATTTAAAATCGAAATTTTAAGCAGGATGGAAAAAATAGAGCGCTATAATGTTTTTGGTCCGAAGCGGACACGAAGTAAAGAAATCCTCAAAAAATGCGATTTTTTTTAATGAGTCGTTCACTAATGACGTTTTGCGCATGTAGTATGTGTAGATCTAGCTGATAAGTGACTAGTGTTTCGATCACTGCGTTATCATGACAGCGAGCTGCACATATTATAGTCAGATTTGTGGATTGAATTGTTTAGTATTTATATGATTAATTACATTCATAACCGCGACATCGGTGATATTAAATTAATGTCGCCAAAAATTTTAGAGGCTTTAGGCAAGCTGTTTTCGTGAGGTATGTTGTAATTGTCCATTAGTTCTCTATTCATCTGTGAATGCGTGAGATTAATTCTGCAACAATTATAACGCTTGTGTTTGGTGTTTAAAATCTTTTTTACGTAATCTTATTCAATACGTATAATATAATTCTAGAAGTACAGAAGAGTTTGTCGTTGTTCCGCATTGTTCAGCATTACCCGGTGCGTGTTTCAATGCCGGTGCTCAGGGCCAGCCTTTTCGATTTCAGTTTTAATTGTCGTATTCAGAAGATTGCTTTTTTTCATAACGCCTATTTACGGTACCCTGAAAATTCTCCTTTTTTAGTTTGTTATTCATGTCTCTGATATGGTTAGGGCATGCCGCACAGACCTATATTTTTAGCTCAGCTGACGAAGTCAGATGCAGCTTGTAGAATCGCATGAATGTCCGTCCGTCTGTGCGTCCGTTCGTCCGTCCGTCCCTCTGTCAGTGCGTCCGTCAACAGTTATGGCACAAATCTTTACCGCGCGACGTACGACCGTCTTGATATTCGGGACGTTGGGGGGGATCGCGAAAAGGACTCGGGATATCGAATTTGGGGGGTCAAGGGTCAAAGGTCAAGATGTGTCAATGGAGGGGGAATATTTCCCCGTTAGCTTAACGTATAGGAGTAAATGCGGAATTGCGGCACAAATCTCAACCGCTCGACCTACGCTATTAATATTCGATGTATAGTGTGATGGGGAGGAAACCCATCACCAGTGCGAAATTAAAGGTCACAGGTCAAAGGGTAGTGGGGGAAAGGTCAGATATTAGACATTTTCTGAGGACATGGTCTAACAGACGGAGTGCAAAACTTTTTTGTTTCAGCGCTGACCTACCATTTTTATCACTTTATTGAAAGGACCATGAAATTTCATGGCGGCCATTTTGAAAATTCGATGCCACGCCCACTTTAAAGGCCGATTTCGTTGGGGTCCACCTCTAATTCGGTTAAGCACCTATCAAAGTACATGTGTGCCAAATTTGGTGCTTTTATCAAAAAGTGAACACTTTACCTGTTTTTGGGAGCTTAGAACCCCTACTATTTGTGCGGCCCGTATGTTTTGGACGCCAGATGAAACGGAGATAACATGGAAATAAAGTAAAACACACGTACTAATCACGGACGCACGTGGACAGCCCTGACAAAAAGTTCTTTATCACGAGCGTCCATGTTTACGAAATCAGTGATGATAGCATTGCGTACGGCCGAGCATGCGTGCGAAAATGTAACAATATTAGTAACTAGCGTGACACCCGGCGTTGCCCGGGAAATAAGGCGCTCAGTTGGTGACCACTTGGTTGAAAGAAAAGTACCCAAAAATATATCTATCTATCTATCTATCTATCTATCCATGCATGCATGCATCTATCCATCCACCCATCCATGACATGCCATGCCATGCCATGCCATCTCATCCCATCGCAGCGCATCCCAACCCAATCCAATCCCATCCCATCCCATCCCATCCCATCCCATCGCATGCCATGCCATGCCATCTCATGCCATATGCCATCCCATCCCATCCAATCCCATCCCATCCCATCCAATCCCATCCCATCCCATCCAATCCCATGCCATCCCATCCCATCCCATCCCAAACAGTAAAAAATAATAAGAAATCAAAAGATAAATGACATTAAAATAAAAAAGTAATATATTTGATCTGTAACCTACATAGGCTTCCGTGAAGTGTTCCCGTCGGTTTGCGCTATTATTATGATCTACCATAGTTTATTCTGGATTTTTACTAAACCTTACTAAATGTAGTAAAAAAATTTACAATTTGAAATTAACGGTGAAGGTTTAGGAGACGTATGCGTTATCCATTCGACTACTGGGGCGTTATTCTTAGAGAGCATGATTGACATTTCAGAGATGTTAGGCCGTACGCACCTCCATCTATTGACGAATATAATTTTTTTCAATGTTTAACTTTTTATCTTTTTAAAATTTTTGTTTCAGCCAGAACCATCTTCCAGACGTGCTGATTCTGAATATATTTTCAGTTTGCCTCTAGGCTGCGTAGTTTTCTAGTCATACGAGTACAGACAAAGTCAAGTCTACAACTTTATATATATAGATAGTATATATATGTTGTGCACGCATGAAAGCAAATAATGAACGTGAAGCTCGTATTGGTAGGTGTTACAGCTTCTCTCTCTCTCTCTCGTTCTCTCTCTCTCTCTCTCTCTCTCTCTCTTTCTGTCTCTCTCTCTGTCTTTCTCTCGCTCTCTCTGTTCTCTCGCCTGAATGCGTTCTGGCGGAGATCTGTTTTTCATTCACGACCACATTAACGTTGTCTACGATAACAATAACAACAACAATAACAACAACTTACAACAACAACTTACAACAACAACAACAACAACATGTCCCCAACTCGTGACAAACGGCACGGAAAATATGCTAAAGATACTACGTTCTTGGGTGAGGCTGCAAAGCATACGCAGTGGTACATGGTACAAGCTCGTCGTTATCGTAATAACTGCATGGATGGTGGGTTACACGCGTAGCAACTGCCACGACGTGGCTACGAAAGGTGTGTATCGTTCAACAGTGCGAAGACCTCGGGTGCACAAGGGTACATGGCCTGAGATACGAGATTGCGATGTACGCACGGGGAGAAGACTGGCTGCCCGGGACCGCTATATGCGGCAGCGCGCAGAAGTAGTGTAGAGCGGGCAGGTGCGCGTATTTCTGTCTGCCTGTTGCTGCAGAATAGCGGGACAATCGTAAGCGCTACATGTCAATCCGTCCCGGTGTAATACCGAAGATGGCCGACAGAGAGAGAAAAGGGGGAGAGAAGATATATATGAAAGAGATGGAGAGAGGTTGGAAGAGTAAGAAAGAAGAGAGAGAGAAGGAAGAGAGGAAGACAAAAGAAGAGAGAGAAGGACGTGAGAGAGGTGTATAGGACGTGAGAGAGCGAGAGAGAAGGAACAGAGAGAGGGGGACGCCGGGGACGCGCTCACGCAAGGAGAGAGCGAGACCGACCGATAGCGCGCAGGTAATAGGTTTAGACAGCGAGAGACGCGCGCGTGCGCGATACAAGGATTGAGAGTGATGATCGATTGTGATGTGATCGATTGCGGTTGACGGTTGAGTCAGGCCCCACTTACTCGGCACGGACGGCGGGGGAGGGGCGATCAACGACAGGCGGCTGCAGATGCGTCACAAAACACGTATAGAGGAGGCTTGACTGTCGTTTGTGAACATCATGGTATTATTAGCCGAAAACCCGATTACCTGCAAATTGTTAATGCCCCGTAGCCCACGCTTGCGTAGAGTCGTGTCACGCCGCGAAACTAAATAACGTCGTCATAGCGATACACATGTGTAGCCAGCCGAAAGGTAGGTGTTTTGTTTTCTTTCTATAATAATTGTAGCTCCTTGTGTGCGTGCGGGAGCGGGTGCGTGCGTGCATGCATGCGTGCGTGCGTGCGTGCGTGCGTGTCTGTGTGTAATTGCGTGTGTGCGTGTGTTTATGTGCACGTGCGCGTGTGCGAGCGCGTGTAAGGGTGTCTGGATGCCTTTACGTGTACGTATATATCTCGTATGTATCATATATCTTTACAGATCGCTGTTTATATGCCAAACCCTAGTTCACTGTACTTTACACGATTAACAATCTATGTATTGATCTATATGTATAATCTCTGGATCGATCGTATTAAAATGACACCGTTTTCTGATGAGAAATATAAAGGGTGCATGGATTTTTTTAACGAGTTATTATCCTTTATCGTATCGTGTATGTATACCGTTACCAGCATGAGAGCGTAGCTCTCTAGCGGTCCAGTGCTAGCAGTCGCATGTGAATGAATGGCAAGAAGGCGGTAAACCACCCGCATGGCCGCGCGCGTGAGACAGAGAGATCGCGTGTGCACTCGGTGCCTGGCGAGCGCGTGGGGGCGGCCGCGAGTAAAGGATGAGTAAAGGATAGAAACAAGAGCTAACGATTCTGTTCTTTTACTCGCCGATCTAATCTCCCTGGGTGCACGGCTAAGATATCGTCCCGCATCAAAATGAGATGCGTGTGTAGTTGAATTGTATTTGCTACTCGGTTAAATTGGCACGTTTACGCGCCGCGGTAAGAATGGATGTATAAGATCTCCAAGAGCCATATTGGGTGAACGCATCGATAGAGGTGTTTTCGCACGACAGACCAGCTTTCACTGAGCAAAATCGGACTACATTCGCGTCTGAGTGACTACGAGTGTAATGCGCTTACACCTGTTAGTGTCAACGTGGCAAGTTTTCGCACTCGCTTACTGACACTTAAAGGGAGAGTTTACTCTAGGTTCTAGGGTTATTTTCAGCTAATTTAGGTTATAATTACGCTACATAAAAAGTTTCATGGTTCAATCATCATTAGAAATATTATTAAAAAATGTTTTAAAACTAACGACTACAGTTTGATTACAACGACGGTGGCGCCACTCAAAGCGCACGATCTGATAAGTTGCGCAAAACCACTTTCCAACCAAGGGCTACAAACCGAGGGTGTTTCTTATTTATTCATTTAAAAGCAAAAGGATTGTAATATCTTATAAACGACATATAGTTTCAGTTATAATATGGATAAATTTGCCCTAAAATGAATATCGTTCGGTTAAATAGCATTTAGGTATAAATATAATTGCACTTTTGTGATTAGCCCTCGGTCTGTAACCTGCAAAATAAATTGTCAAATAGGCCCTACGCAACTTTTTCGGGGTGGCAGCACGGTCGCGGGTGTCATGGCGCCGTTCAAATTTCGTAGCGTTGATGTGTAAATAATTATAACAATTAAATTAGGTATCTGGTAACAAATACGTGTGGGTATAGACGATTTGTTATACAGTAAGTACAGTTGTATGCAGTAAAATCCTAGAGGCTACTGTCCCTTTAAATCGTCGTACACTGTTAGATACATGTAGTAAAGGCATGTTCCAATGCAGTCGAGCGCACCATGGAATTTACGTTTGAGTTCGTAAAGTGCGACAAAACTTCATGATCATTGACGCAGCATCCTTACAATTTCAAATGGTGTACTGCTTGAAAGCGTTTCGTATAAAATGCGGTTTGACATAGTGAAAGGTCGCGTATGCTATTCAATGTAAGTACACATGACGCTTGCATGCATATCGCTAGACATTTAAAGGCCCAGTTATACATAAACTTGCATGGTTATTAAAGAGTCGGCACGCATCATGCGCCACGCTGTTTAAGGTAAATAGCGCGAGAGACCTTCTACCGATCGGCATACCGGAGTACGTGTATGAAGAAGAAGGTGACGTCACGCTCGGCTGCATGATCCCGCTGCGTCGCTTCTCTTCTACCAGTTTCTGCGATGAGGATTTGAACGTCGTGCCGCCGTGGACTACGGCATTCTACACGTTTAAACACGCTGTCGATCTAATTAACAGCAACAGCACTCTGCTCCCTGGTACGTGCCTTATAGTGTCTCAGCGTAACTTATCAACTATAAAGTGGTGTGAATTACAAATGAGATATAAATAAGCAAGACCAATGTGATAAAATCAGGAGTGTATAATATAGATTGTATAGAGTGTATAGGCTATATTATACACGCCTGATAAAATCACATCACATACATCTATATGAGCCACTCTGCCGATAAACCTTCGATCAGCATTATTAAATTGGGGAAAAAATCACAAGGTGCCTCTCCCCATAAACAGTGGGCATCGGTGTGCTTATATACTAAGTTCGGAAATGCATTACAAATTTCAATGACGACTCGTTCTATTTTGCTCTAATCACGGAGAGCATGTTTATTAGCATGACGTCGTGTAAACATATTGTCGTTGTAACTAACCATAAAAACATATCATTGCTAAATTACATCATCCTAAGGCCCTCGATCCCTGCAATCTAACACAGAGAATTGATCCTAGTTCGGACATGCACTGTGAATCTCATATTGCCACCATCACTCTCGAGTTCGTGCTTGTTATCGTGGTGATCAATTGTGTAACATTTTCTGTCTCCACGCTCTTCGTCCATTCATGAATATGCACGTATTTGGACAGTACGCTATTTTATACATTTGGTAGGCGAGCCCGTACCTGTAAATAAATTTCCTTCTTTTATCACTCGTATCTAATATATAATAACTTGTTTAATAGCCACATCAAAACATATTATGTCTGTGAATGCCGAAAGGTCATGAAGTGTAAGCGAATGAAATGTTAATTTCATTAAAAAATATATAAAGTAAATATATTGCATGCGTGAGCGTAGGAGCATGCGCGTGTATTGGGAAGTTGGTTATCAAACCGATTTCAATACCTAAAGAGGATTAAGTATATTTACAATTAACCGCCATCAGCTGATGATGAAGTTAATCGCGAGCATAATATGTTTATATACGCAGGTGTTCGGCTTGGCGTGAGAGTGGTCGATACCTGCAATAAGGCCTCCACCGCATTGGCGCAAGCACTGAGATTTCTGCCCGAAACACTAAGCAACACAAGCAACACGACAGCTGGTACATGAAAACGAAATCTATACCTTGTATCAATAAGACACCGAAATTTAAATGAAGGCAAATAGATTTGCTTTTAAACTAGAGTGGCAGCTTACCTATACATTCTTTTGTAGCACATAATTATATAATTCAATTATATTAGTGGATAGAGTTTAGTCAATTGCGGTAACTCGTGTCTGTAGTAATACATTTTTATGTTATAGCATACCTACCTGATGTTGTTGCAATAGTCGGCGATGGACGTAGTCATGGCTGCATTCTAATGGCTCCTCTCTTGATGCTCTATGAAGTTCCTCAAATCAGGTACGGTACATGTATACTTGTGCACGCGTACGTGCTAATACAAGCTTCACACATATCACGATTTATGGCTGTTTAGCTAATTAGCGGAAGCTTAATTTAGCCAATTGCCCCCGTTTTGATGCGCTATGAAATTTCACAAAGCAAACACGGTACCTGCGTATATGTGGGCACATGCTTAATTGTGTGTGCGCGTGTGTGTGTGCATATATCAAACAAATAATATATAGTTCGACGGGTAATCCATCCGAGTTGTAATGGCTATTCAGCTACTGGGCCACGAATGACATACTCAGTGACCGGGCTAGATACGCCTACTTCTACCGCACCGTGTTACCGGACAAGGAGCGCATTCGCACAATGATGGATGTTTTGTCACATTTCGGCTGGACCTACATATCATTGCTCTATCAGGACGATCCACACGGACATAATGCGCTTAAGGGCATCAAGTATTTATTCCTCTCACAAACCATAATGTATCTATAAATCTATTAGATGGGACAAGGTTAATAGTCGTTATTACCATAGCAACGGCGCTACTTTTGCACGAGCGTTATTCCTTATTATTGTCATTTAGACATTTATTTACACGTTAGACATCAGACGTTAGACATTAGAAATTTTAAATTAGAGATTAGAAATGAGAAAATAGACATTAGACTTTAGACATTAGCTATTATTCAGACATTGATCTAACATATTTGGCATAACTGCAGTACTTGCATTGTCGCAGGCCGCTGGCAGCGGAGAGAAGCATTTGCCTTGCCGTAACGAGAATGGTTGAGTGGTCAATGGACAACGAAGAAGACTACACCCGGCTCGCACAAGAACTAATCGATAACTGGAATGCTAGAGTGGTCCTCATGTACCTATTCGAGCCGTTTCCACATGGAATTCTCCGTGCCTTGCAAACACTTGGAGCAGAGAATCACTTCATATTCTTTGCATCTGACGCCTGGGCTCAAACAACGGATGAATTCAAAGAAATTAGGACCGTTGCTCAGGGCGTATTCGGTTTTGACAGTTATGCGAATCAATTGGCTGACTTCAGAGACTACTTTAGAACATTAAGTTTAGAAACAGAGAAACACAACCCGTGGTTTGTGCAGTATTTAGAGTCATATCAAAACTGTAGCATAGATGCTTCATCTGATAGACCTTGCAGCAGCACGGACCTCTTTAAAATGTACCCAGAACTGCCCAACGTTGCCTATTTTATTATTGACCCCGTGTTCGTATTTGCACAAGCAATTCATAATATCAGAGAGACGCAATGTCCTGGCGCAATTGGATTTGCTCTAAGGCAGTGCATCACCGGACCATTAATATCACAACAGCTTAATTATGGACAGTTCAATAGACCAGCTGGAAATTCGATTATTTTCGACGCTTTTGGTAACGTAAAGGGTAAAATCTCAATACGCAAATTCACAAAAACCTTCAAAATAAACAATAACTCCGGCACTAATAATTCAGTCAGCGATTACGAGATGGTAGGAGTAGGATACTGGGACGTCCTCACCAAGTCCCTGAACATGAATGATGACTACATACATTGGCCAAAGGACCACACGGAAGAAGGCCCACCTGAGTCTATTTGCAGCAAGCCATGTCCAGAACGCTTCTACAAAATACAGCTGGAGCTGCCGTGCTGCTGGGAATGCCGCCGCTGTCGAATCAATGAGTATTTGTTAGGTAAATAACACCTGTGTTATTGCTATTATGGATAATTACCACCTATGTGGTGGCTTGCTGTGAGGCCAAGCAACCATCGATATACCTACGTATAAAACGTTTTTATCACCAATAGCCCGTGTAATAAATAATGCAAATGTAGGGTAGGTAACTAACAGTTGAGACCATAGCCGAAGCCATTTGTTCTCAACTGTTGTTTCCATCGAGCATGCTTATATAACAATACTACATGGTTTATAACATTGCTATAGAGAATCGAACGGACTGCTTGCTGTGCCCGCTATACTCGTGGCCTGCCGAACCGCACGGCACGACTTGTGAACTCATACCTGTGACCTACATCCAATGGGGAGACGCTCTGGCCGTGCTATTAACTACCATCGCCGTCGTTGGCGTCATCTGCACCACCGTAATAGGTGTTATTTTCATCAAAGTGAGTTTACTCATCGACAACTTATAGTAAGTCAGTTCTATATACGTGTACATCTATTTCCATATACGTGTACATCCAGAACAAAACAGGGATGCGGAAACAAACTATAATTAATTGGAAATAAGATGGTATATAACGAAAATACTATCTAGGTGTTCTTTTCATCAAAGTGAGTGCGTTCATCAGGAGCACAAGGCAGCTTTGTGTTGTGTATTGATGTATTTTATATTATATTTAATTGACGATGTTTACAGCTATTCATCCTTTAGCATTTATAATTCTAGCATTTAACATTTTTTGCATTTTCTGGCCATTTTTAAATCAATTAACACAATCGACCGAATTTAAAGCCATATTCATTTAGTTATCATTAAAGTTTAATCATATTAAATAAAATTATAATCATTATGCATTGTTTCATTGAACAACAACAATTTATACTCAACAATATCTCTGATTTCTGATTACGTGCAGTAAAGTTTTCTTATTTTAATGACGATCGAGTTATGCGAATTCTTACTAATCGCGATTTATAAAATATATGAATATCATACATACAATCTATAGGTGAGTGTGATCTCTGTGAGTCTGATGTATTATGATATATTAGACGATTTACACCCTTGTATAATGACCACCACATTGTATTTTTATACCATCCTTGCCGGGTTCGCCTAAAAACCGACGTGGCGGTCATGAACATAATTAAAAATAATACATACATACAATTAAGTTATATCGCAATGTTAATCAAAGAGAGCAAAAAAAGGCAGACAAATGGAGAAACGCGTGGTTTTATTCTCAATTTATGCAGGAAAAGGGATAACTAACCGCAAATATCCGCTTCAATCATCAAATTGTAATTGATCAGTTTCGTCACTAACTCAAAAATCTTATATGTGACAAGCATTATTCTTATTCGTAGAATAGGAACACGAAACTGATCAAAGCCTGCAGTCTCTCCGGGAAAAATTGGCGAGGTTATGTTTTCAACCGGTCGTGTGTTGTTGGTGTTGTGTCTTGATCTTTGTGTTTGTGTACGCCTCGCTGATTCGGCCCTGACCTTGGCCGCGCACGGCGCCAGCCGCCCGCCGCCGGAGACGCCTGTATCATCACAGGCTTACAGCTCTACTGGAAAACAGTTATCGCGACGCCATTGTCACTCAAAATTTTCAGGATACGTCAGAAATGGGCTAACCTTAGCAATTGATGAGCATTTTGGTGGTGATACCGGATACCAATTAAATTAATTCATTCATTCATTAATAAACAAAAATTTCAGCGATAGGTCAGAAATGGGGTAACTTTAGAATTCGATTACATATTTGGTGGTGATCCGGATCAATTAAATTACTTAACTAATTAATTATTAAATAAAATTCCCAGGAAGGTCAGAAATGGGGTAACTTAGAATTGATTAGCATTTGGTGGTGATCCGATCCAATTATTATTTAATTAATTAATTTTTTCACTTAATCCTAATTAATTAATTAATAAAGAGAGTTCTCACAGAGAGAATTAGCAGCTGCCGTTGCGAGCAGGTCATGTGCTTTCTGAGTGCCTAGTTTTACATTGTTATTGGGCAGGCTAAATCTGGCAGAAAACAGTCACCATTTATCAAAATTATTACTAAAAAGGAGAAAGTGCTTTAATTACTGTCATTCCCACGATGTAAAGATGACGTGGGTGCAGGTAGTAGTCCCCTTTGTCGTGTATATTTTCATGTCGCCATCAACTTCAAAAAGAAAGTGTATACACTTCGAGTAAAACAAGCAGACTAAGCAAACGAACGCTTCAGAATAAGTTGGCAAGCGCAAGATATATGGCTTTTATAGAGATGGCGCCTCCCCAGCGGTGTAGTAGGTTGGCAGAAAGGCAATCCACAATCAGGCGTTTGTCGTAATACTACAGGCAGCAAGCCTGACTGAAACTGAGATTCATTGACAATTGCTGGCAGCTTGCCGCGGTCTTAAACGCGTAGAATACTCGTAACATTATACTACTCACAAATATAAATTAAGGATACAACCATCTCTAAGATTGAGAATGCATGGTTTACACCCTATATGACATCCCATAACTAGTGTATGATATTCATCATCTATATGGATTATTAATTAAAAACTGCTAAATCTCCTTAATAAATATTGTCTATCATTGAACTCCCAACATTTTCACATAAAAACGCTCAACATCCAATCAAGGAAGGATTATCCAAATTTTGATTCGTTTATCTACACCCGACAGCTGACATTTTTTCTGTCGAGCTTCTTTTCGCCATGGCGCGTGGGCCATCTTTGGGTTACTGTTTTCAGCAATCCATCACAATTTTACTTGAATCATAGACAATTCCATTTTTTTGACGATAGTTTCATCATGTTCACTCATAGAGGAACACTCACACTAAACGTTTTATTAACTCGCGTCTATATAAGCAAGTATGAAAGTTGAAAGAAACTTAAGGCTAAAGACGTAATATATACTATCATGTGATTCTCGTTCGAATTGTCATGGTGAAGTGTAAGTTTGCTATCGAACCCATTACACTTATAAGAAAAGCTGCTTACCTGGCAGAAAAAGCCAAGAGATGAGATGACGTTAAACGCGACAGCGATGTGAGAAACCGCTCCGTCCTGTGTTTTGCATGCACAGTTCGACCAGCTTCTCAGTGGAGTATGCCGCAGCACTGTAGTTGCGGCTCCCGGTGGTAGATGACAGCCCACACCACACTAGCAAGTTGCCAACCTGTACACAGCAGGGCCGCACACCGCACTACTCATATTTTCTCCAGCCTCAGCGGCCTTCTTGATAGAGTACACTTCCAAGTTTTTATCCCAACGTTTTGCGTTCAGGAGACTTGTTCTAGACAATAGCGATCCTGCGATGTTACATGTTTGCGCAGACGCCTCCCAAGCAATTGTGATCAAACAGTAATAATGGATGTTCCGTCGCATGTGGTAATGATCACGAATTAATTTCTTATTGATCAATAATGATTGTGTCTTTGTTAAAGATAAAACGATGTCATTTGATGATTTACACTGTAAGACACGTGTTTTCGGAACGATATTCCGGTTGGCATATAATAGGCAATTCCGCCGTGAGACGGAGATAGAGGACTAAATGATTGCGCAACAATAAAATGCACCTAGTCATGTGAATGGGAACAGGTAGTGTTGCCATTCTAGTCGTTAGTTATTTGATCGCGATTTGGCTTAGGTACGCGACGTACGTGATGACTGCATGAACGCAATGAATGCGAATTTGTCGATTTTAATTTTGAATTCAATTCGTCCGTGATTATCACAGAGCAATTCGACAAAGTTCATCTGATCCTCCACTACAATCTGCATTTTTTCCTTGGCAATGTTATTCTGCTATCGCTTGAACCACGTACTACCACCCTTATCGCTAAACAACTACGAAAAAACACCCCCCCCCCCCCCCTGAAAACATCTGGCACGCCTAGAAATGTCTTAGGGTACAGTGTTACAGTCGAAATTGCAACTGCATGCAATAAAAACGCTAGCTATAGCACATTCACTTACCACTTAAATAAGGAGTATCAAATAAAGCTAGAATGATTTAACGCAACATTTATTCTACCCTTGTATCTATGGAAAAAACAGGCGGGCGGTTATTTTAAAATGTATATACTCCCTAACTAATCAACATCATACATCTACTACACGCACGCATCGCACGCACGCAACGCCACGCACGCCACGCACACACATACAAACACACGACCCACACACACACACACACGCCAATCAAACACACACTATCTCGCACAACATGCGCGCAACGACACAACACACGCACACACAACGTACACACACACCACACCCACACACACACACACACACCCACACACACACACAGTCACACACACACACACACACAGCACACACACATCACACACACACACCCACACACATATATATAATTTCAATGCCAATCATTTGTGTTTTACACATGCGTTTACGAGACTATTACCAGGCTTCTGTCTTTACAAGTTAAGGTTTGACATGAGACAAAAAAATGGGTCAGCATATGTTTACATTAGCTGAGAGTATGATCGTGACTTCACGCACGAAACTCGGCATCTCCAAAGGTGAATGCATACAGCCAGAGACAATAGAACACTAATAGTTCTGTATAGAATGTTCTGAATATATAATAATTATATTCTGATAGTAATCTGTTCAGGGTCTCTGCGTTACCTTCGGAAGATAACAGAGTTCGTGCTCTGAGCTATGGATAACATGTGCCGACCTGAGAAAGATCACCGCCGCTATCTACCGACCAACCCGCACCTGATTGCAATTATGCAGCATGCTGATGGTGACCTGTGCCCGGGGAGCTGATACATCCCGGCGCTCCTACTTTCCCCTGTAAGAAAATATCCGGTAGATCTGTCGTGCGTGCCAGCAGCGGTGCATAGATGACCGTGAACGACAGTGACAGCCGAATTGGGACGCAGTGCAAGCGACATCGCTTGGTTTTTGCGATCACGATGAAAACCATAAGGAATGAAGCCATGACGCCAATTCGATGATGAGCTGAGTTCTCGG